TCAGTTTAAATCAACGGAATGTCATGAGACACATGGCTTGGTTTGGAGCAGAGCACATCTCTTGCCTGGGTAGACTTGAAGCATTCATCTGTAGAGAAGCAGCAAATTTGAGTTTAACTCAATTTACATTCTTGAAAAAGATGGGTATCTTAGAAGATGTATAAAAATAAAGGGTGAATTAAACAAAGGATGTGCAACAAGAAATTGAAGCCAAAACTCTGCTGGTATCTGTTAACTGTAAAAGTTCAGAGATAATGCGTGATCTTCTGGGAGACACTTGCTTTTCTTTTCTGGAATTACGTTCTTGAGGATTGCCAGCAGGTCCTTTCCGTCTCTGGAATTTTCTACAAGATTGTATATCCCTCATACATGTTTTTCCAAGTGCAAACTTGGCAAACTCAGGTGTACTTCTTGGAACTAACCTGGTCATGGAAGCTTAAATTAGGATCAGGTTGCAGTGGATGGATGTGAAGCAAATAAGAGAATGATAATTTAATCGAGTTTGATATGGATGAAGATTCCTTTATTTCCTAGTCTTGTGTTGTTGCTGCTGTTACAGGAGCAACCATGTTAGATATGGGTATGTCTACTTTACGTAGCTGTTGCTTTTCCTGCTGGTGCTACCTGGCAGGTTTTGAGTGTGGAAACACCATGTTTAACACGTGTGATTTTTATTTATTTATTTTTTTTTAAGGGAAATTACTTCCCAAAAAGCAGTTTGAGGAAACAGGGATGCTCATGATTGTGCACAGATCACCTGTGTTGTGACATTTAAGGGTGTTGGTGCTGATGGTGGGAATTTTACTGTTTGTTTCTTAAAGTCTCATAGACTTTTTTGAAATGCTTGGGGTTTTTTAAAAAAAGAAAAGGTACAAAGTCTAGAGCAAAGGCAAACCATTGAATTGAACAGTTTTGGTGGTAAGTTTCCAGTCAGAATGGCCTTCAAGCAGGTTGAAGATGTATCTGAACCGAAGTGGGGGTGAGAATCAGGTTGGAAGAAGTGTCACAGCTGTATCATTTCTGTCATAAGAATTACCTAGGGAAGGGTTGTAGAACAACAGTGGTTGCTGTTCCAACCACATATGAGAATGAGACGCTTAAAGAGGGGGTCTCATTGTGTTCCTTGATGTTGCTCAAGGAGTAGGGCTGTGGATATTTAGTTATTGGCCTATAGTCATGTTTGTTTGGTTATGGATAGTAGTTTTTTGTGGGCTTCACAAGAAAACCAGCTATAAAGCAGCAATGTTGACACAATGTTTAATAGACATCTGTAGCTTCTGTCCAGTTATCTGTCCCTGGTTGTGTTGTGATTTTCTGTGGGACAGCCTGTGCATCCTGTAGTTTCAAATCATGGAAGACTAATACATTATTGTGAATTTACAAAGCTTACTTTGTTTCTTTTTCTGTACTATTCTATTTTAACTTGTATACCTGATGGTTACCAAAAGGAAAATAGTGACTTACACACCTTATTCTACACAAAAATTCTGAAAGGAATATTTTGTTGAAGGAAGCATATTCCTTTTCAATTGCTCTTGAATAAAAAAAACCCACAAGAGTTATGAAAGTTTGATTTATAATTTGGTAAGGCTGAAAAAGGCCTCATGAAGGCCTGCTTGCGTGGATGTTATTTACAGGTATAAGGTTCACACTTGAAATACAGTCTGCTGGTGCTCTATGCAAGTTGTCACTTTTGGTTGCTATTTAGCTTCAGTAACACGCGCTGTGGAAAATTCTACACAGTTATGCATCAGCACTGCAATGAAATAGATATACTAATGTCATTCTCTTTTCACCTATTAACAAGTGATTGGCTAAACTGCAGGTGAATAGAAATGTGATTTCTATCTTCATACTTGGTCCTTTGGACCACATGCCTTCCCATTGCTAATAAAGATAATGTCACCTATTTGAAGACATCAGCAGGCATGTTTAAAACCCAGGATGAATCGAGCACATTTACTGCGTTAGAAGCAGTTGCTAAATTGTAAGTAACTAAGTCTTGTTGTATAACTGCATTGCACTCAAGGGAACAATTTGGGGTTTGAATTGTGTATGTTGGTAAGTGAAAACTATGTAGACATTGATTATTTTTTCCCCTTGACCTAATCACTGTTTGCCTATGGCAATATCTGATATGTTATGTGTTCACCAGGAATTGTCTTGGGACCACAATGAGGCTTTTATTTTTTCTTTTAGCTTCATTAGTAATCATAGTTACATTAGGAATAGAAGGCAAAGGAGTAGTACGCTTGTACTGTACTACACCACTTCTTCTGTTTATTGTAAAGGCGGAAGTGAACTCTGTAGGTGTGAGTCTGAATTTGTATAGACAGAGGATGAGACCAGATCTGAGTCTTCATACATTTTCAGCAAGAAATGAATTTTAAACATGAGACAAATGCCTGGTTAGCTAATTTATATTTTTGTGTTGTGAAAAAATTCTTTCTTTGTTTCTCCTTACCTATGTGTAGTCTAATCATAGAACTTTTCTTGGCAATACTAGAGACTATGAATACCATGCAGAGTAAAATAAAATTTAGTAATGTGTTTGTCATTGTCTGAATTGAACAAGTTGCCAAAAGTTAACGCAGAAATGGTGATTAGAATGCTTCCTCCTGTCCCCCACTCTGGGAATCTGATGTGTATTACCCTTTAGACAAAATTAAATATTCTAACAGAGTACCTTAAGAAATGTGTTTAACTTTTGATATACTGTTGATTCCTTCAAATGGTAATTATGTTTGTGTGCCAGAATACTTGTTTGTAGTGTAAAGGATTAAGTGAAAAAATGTAAAAGGCTAAACTTGTAACAATCTACCTAGAAGTCACATAGCTAGACAGATGGACATTCTGCTTGTATAATAAAGTGTTAGCAATTGAAAAATTCCCCCATCAATACTTGCATATTTGCATGCATAAGAAACCAGACTGTGGCCTACCTAAATATAGCCTTGCAGTTTGGTATTTCCGAGAACTAATTCTAGCACAAAACACCTTTTCCTCCATTGACTTGTCTACTATGTGCATTTTTTCCAGCTGTGCAGCTGACAGCTGGGCGGTTTTTATTTTAGCTTAGAGCATTCATTTTGCACTATCTTTTCATATGTGTGCTTGTATTATGCTTTGTGTTTCAAAATATGCATAATGGAATATTGCCTTTTTTTCTTCCTGAACAGCAGTGCATCATATGAAAGTGGACTTAAGTGCTGCACATGGAAGTGTGTGCTATTGTAGTGAGAGTAGTTCTCAACTTGTAAGATCTGTTAACTGGAAATAGATGTGCGAAGAGATGTTCAACCTTTGAAGCATGATGGGACAATATTGCTTTGAAAAGATAGTTATCAAGTCAGGTGGTGCTTTTGGTGTTTGTATCCACATGAGGGAGACAGCGTGACAGGCTCATTTGCCTTAATTGGTGGCAAATTTTGCCAACCTGCAGCACAGTGTTGGAGAAATCACTTAATGCACTAGCTGTCTGTAAGATTACCAGCTGCTGCTTCTGTTAACTGATACACCTATACAGATTTTATTTTCCCTCCTCAGATGTAACTAAGATAAGATTTCTGCAAACAAAGCCATCCAACATGTCTTCTGAGCTTTTTCTTTAAAACACAGAAAACCTTGGTGTGGTCATGGCTTTCTCTCTCTAATCTTCGGACTTCTGCCCTAATATGTGAAATAATATTTCAGTCTGTAGAAAACACTGACTCTTAACTCAGTATTTTGTTGTTCAGCCTTTATGGAAATGTTACTGAAGGTGGCTAGCAAAGTCAGCTGTAAACGAAAGTCTCTTAGAACAGCTGACTTCAGTATGGTAGGTGTTTCTTTATTAGTTTGAAAATAATCATTCTTTGTAGCTTATGTAGGGTTGAGTTCTCAAGTGATGAGAGGCTTTTCTCAAAACCCAACCACTTTTGTTAAGGGCAGCTCCCAGAGGATCTAGAACCTTGCATGAAGATGCCCAACATCACCTGTAGGTAGCATTAATTAGCAAAATGTTTGAAACATACAACATTTTCCTGTGTTGTGTTTGACAGTATTGTGGAGAAGTCGGTCAGCAGTCAGAATTATTGTTGCTTTAGAAACTTATATGGACCATTTGTAATGAAATCATTCACAGCAACATCCCATACTTAATTTCTTATTGGTATTATTATCATCTTTTCAACTTTTTAGGGGCTTAATTACAGCTAGCTGATATGTGCATAAAGATCACTTTCATGGTTTAGCTAAAACCATGGCCAGTAAACTATTTCCCAATTTTTATTTGCAATAGTAGTGTTGAAATATTTTGTTTGCAAGACAAGCCCACATGGTTTATGAAGTGACTGACTGGGTTGGTAGATGAGGTAAACAAAACAATCTCTTTGGTAACTAAGAGGAACAATCTATTTTTGTAAATTCTTAAGTTTTTGTTTCAACTTCTGAAAGTGAAGCAACATAAATATTTAAGTGACTTTATTCTTTCAGAGTTGAATTGGGATTTCTTGCTTTGCTTAAGCATGAAACAGATAACCTACCTGTTGTCCTGAACTGTTGCACAAATAATTATGCTGCTCCCAAATAAAACTAAAGTTTAAATTGTTTGGATACAACTGAAAACACCGTAACTTTGTTTTCTTGTTGTTGTTTGAAGTAATTGGAAGAATATTGTGGGACAACCTTTTAATATGCCTTTATCAGGTTTTTAACTGTTCACTGGGAGTGTTCCATAAATAATTACCAAGAATATCTAAATGTGTGCTAGAGAAGGAATAAACTGTGTGTTATCCCAAATACACAGTCTGGAGGTACTCATTTATTGAGGTTGTCATGGTCTCAGTCTCTAACTTTTAAAAATGTATTTACTTTGCATTTTCTCATTTATTTAATATAATTCTATTAAGTCTGCATCTCAAGAATTTAATGTTTCTTTGTGCTTAGAATAGATACTTAGTCACTGTCTCTTCCTTCCCCTTCACGAAGAGTTAAAAATAAACCTGTAAAACAATGGCAGTATGAAACAGCTCACTGGCAATAATGAAGCTGGAAGCAAGCAGGTACTTAACCAGAGGAATTCTGCTTTGGTGTCCGAGTAGCTGTTGGAAAATTTAAAAAGGAAAAATGAATATGCAGTCTTTTCAGGAGAAATCTTCCTGTGAGTAATAAAATCACATTCCTCCTTTGGCAGAGAAGAGACTATGGAAACTTTGGTCTTGCATTAGGGGATAATACCAGCTTCCTTAAAATACCATTTCAAAGCTGAATTTTCTCAAATTCTGCTTTTTTCCCCCTGCTTTATCCTTTTCCCCTCCTCCAGTCTTTCTCTAATATTCACTCCTGGCCCAAACTTGTATACAACATTATAATAGCCTCATGTTATAAAAGTGAAAATTTTAAAATGAAAATAATGATTTGTAATAAAAAGCCTGACAGACTAATTATAGTATTGCATTAATTATTATCTTATTTCAGCTCTGTTCCTCTTGCAGCTAATTCAGATCTGGGTTTTGGTGGTTTTTAATCCCTATTGACACTGTAATTTTGAGAGAGAGAGTATACTGGGGAACGATACATACAAAATCAAGAAATAAAAATCATCAGGTAAACAGTTGATTTCTAAAATGTTGCCTTAGAGATGTTAGTAATAGAATGCAAGTAGTTCTGTTTAAGTATGATGCTTTGTGGCTCTTCTGTTGAGTTTAATACCTATATACTACATAATATAACTCTTGAAATCTTCCATTTCTGGGTATTTTTATAGCATGTACTAAATAGCGGTCATTAATTCAGAAACATGTGCATTGTGCAGCTAAGTTGGTACCTCACTGATGCATTTTACATCCAGAGTTTTATTTTTTTCTCCCAAAATGTGTGCAATTCTTATAATGATTAAGATGAAGATTGATGTCAGTGCAACAGTACAGCTTCAAGACTGCAATTTGAAGCTACTTTAGAAAAATACAATTCTTTAGACACAGTGAAGCTGAAGTTGAATGGAAGTCCTATTACTGGTGAATTACATGTAAATATTAATAAGGGAAGAGTTCAGAGCAAGTCCTGAGTTTGGGAAATTGAGCATGATAATTTCCTGAAATGATGTCTGTCTTGAAGATATGCAGATGCAATAATTTTCAGGTTTTATTTGAACTTCCAAGTGGTGTAGAGGGTGCCTGGGTTAGTTTTTAAGCAAGAAAGTGCTTGGAAGTTTTGGCAAATATCACTGTAATGGATGTATGGTAATGAAGGAAGTTAAGTTGAAAGATGAATTGGACTGAATGACTGTTTCATTCAGTCATTTAGGCTAGGCTAGTTGCATGGTTTGGTTGTTAGATGTCTCAAATTACGTTGCCTTAGTTCCTGCACTTGGTTGGCTGTCTTCACATCTTAACAGATTCTGGGAATTAGTTTCTGACAGTTTGCTTTGTTTTGCTTTTTCAGGATGCTTCGTCTGCAGACATTCGGAAAGCATATCGAAAGCTTTCACTGGTTTTACACCCAGACAAGAATAAAGATGAAAATGCAGAGACACAGTTTAGGCAAGTAAGTGCAATGTGTGGCAATAAAATTTTTAGGGTAAATAGAATTTTTTATGGTGGTGTCATTTCAGTAAGAACAATAGTACACCTTTGAAATGACTAAGTTGAACATTGAATTGTGTTTTTCCTGATATATTGATTAAAATAAAGTACACTTTTTCAGAAATAACTTGTTGAATAACTCTAAATTAGTATTTACTTGTCATTAAAATTAATTTGAACATAACACCTAGACTTGCACTCTTAGGAGGGTAATATGTTTTGCACTTTATGTAAGGCTGTTTATAAATAGCCTTTTCAAAAGCAGTAGGGAAAACATCTGATCAGTTCTCAATGTAAGACATATGTGGGCATAATTAACGAAAATATTCAGTTTAGGTTTTGGATTTTTGCCTTTTGAATCTTTACAGAGTGAAACCACAAGACTTAAATTAGCTCTACCTTTAAAAACATACTTCTGATGACTAAATAGAGGCTACTTAATTTCAGTAACATCTTTAGGATGAAACAAATTATACCTTTTATTTTTAAAGTGTAACTGATACAAGACTCAGTTTGACAGATGCAAGGAGGGAAAAAACCAAGTCTTTTGTAGGAGTTGCTTGTTTGTGTATCTCATGACACTTTGTGTATGAATATGTCACTGTTTCTTTTGCATATTGAGTTTGCTTCTCAGTGTTGCAAGGGAAAGTGAAAACTAGCAAAGGTCATTAGTTGGCAAACATAAAACATGATACTTCTATGTAAAGTTTATAAACTCAATCCTAAAGTAAACTCTTTCATGTGTGGGTTTGGTTTTTTTTTTTTTCCTTTTTTCTGGTTTTGTTTTAGTTGGTGGCCATCTATGAGGTTTTAAAGGATGAAGAAAGGAGGCAGAGGTGAGTTAATTTGCACAGGTTCTTAAAGGATTCATGCCTGTGATATATTTAAGTCCTATTTGACTTAATTGTAACTCTTCACATGATTTTTTTTTTTGTATAATTTAAGTTTGTAATTCCTATGTAACTGCTTAATTAAAGATTGTATGTGGCTCAAAGTGGAAGCTGATGTTTATTTTTGTGTGATATACTCCTTTAAAGCTGGTTTTTGAAAGAACTTTGAAAGCTTGCTGTTATTTGGAGCAGTTTTTTTAACACTTAACAGTTACAGCACTTTTTGTTGAGTTGTGTTAATTCTCATTGCTTGTTTTATTAAAGCTGTGTCTGAAAATACAGTCCACTGGTTCAGCTGTCAGTTGTATCTCAGTGTATCAATAAAATTGATATATTGAGGTTTGTTGCATGATATTTAGGGATTATTTGCAGGGTACATTTTCTTCAACATTGTTTTCTGTTGCTTAGTTAATTGGTTTTTTTTTTCAGATGTATTATTTATAATAATGTAAACTTTGATATAAATAGTGTAAGTTTTTGATAAATAGTAGTGGTCCTTGCTGCTTCTGGAGTAGGTCCAGCAGTACCTGGAGGGGATAGAATTAAGAACTGAAAACCTGGGGCTGAGCTGCTTTTTGGAAGACTGTTTTAAATTTCTCTTATTTTTTTCTGCTTCTTTTGAGCAGGTGACCATTTAATGATTATCTGGGACACCTGAAAAGGTTTTGCTTTGGGGTTGGATTTTTAGTAAATCAACTTTTGGCTTACAAGTATTTAAACAGGGCTTCACGAGACATTTCTTGAAGGGTTATTGGCTTTGTAGATGCCTTGGCAGGAGTCCAGGTTTTATAGTACAGATTATCTACTTTTTGATAATCCTCTCTTGAAGTGTCATGAAAATGTACTTAATAGAAGTACTTTTGGAAATCTGTATTTTATTTTTTTTTTCTATTTCACCTCTCAAGAGAATTTCATTGTGAACTTCTACTCAAGGAACGTTTTAAAAGAATTGTTAGGTTAAGTGGTTTCAGTCCACTTGAAAAGTGAGTTATCCCCCAAATTTTCCCACCTTTTTGTTTATAACACTGTTTACATATACTCTGTGGTATTGCCTCTCTGGAACTTAGTTCTGACTTGGAATCTCTAGGAATTTCCTTGCAGCTGTAATATCAGCTTTTTGCATGGAACTGTGATGCAGTAGCTTGTAAACTGTACGGTTTTAAGCCTTGCATTCATTGCAAATATGACTGACTTAACCCAACTTGTTTGCAAGAATCTTGTTAATTAGTGCAGCACGGTGCACTTGGATTACAAATGAGAAGTTAAAGCAGTGGTAGGTTGTTCTTGCTTAGATTGATCTCACTGTCAGTAACTTATTTCGTACATAGATAGTGTTGTATCTTTCTTGCACAGTGTGGATGCATGGTTGATATTGCCTCTATAGTTGATTAAATATAAGTGTAGTTGATTAAATGGTTTACCTTCAGAGAATTTTCTAGAAATAACATGCAGAGTTTAGAAATGGCATGTACAGTAGCATAGCTATATGTCATTGCTTTGAGAAAACCTTTATTGATATTTATTATAGTCTTAATGATAAACTCTCAGTTGAGCTTGTAAATGGAGGGTGGCCTGTCCTGTACCCTATAAGGCATTGTTGTAGCATGTCTTTAAAACAAGTCTTAAGTAAGTGTGCTAGGAGCTGCTCCTTCTGTAATATTGTTTGTGTTATAAGGTAACTTGTGGGTTTCTTGCAGTCATACGGCAGAAGAAAAGGGAGAATTGTTGTTCTTCTGGGATCTTCCTACTTTAGATGCTGGTATTTGGCTATGTGTTGTGTGGGGTGATAGACCTAGTGGAAGAGGCTCAAAGTTTACTGTCATGCCCATGTGCTGGGGAGAAACTACACTGCACCCTTTGTCTCTCAGAGCTTATCAATTCAATTTTATGCTGATTTCGGAGACACTTACTTGGATCTGCTGTAACAAAGCTTTCTGCCAGGTTCCCCCCCATCCCAGGCAGTGTGGTAGTTTTTCTATCTGGAGTAGCTCAAAGACCTGGTGGGATGAGAAGGAATTAAGTTCTATTTCTTACAAATTAGTCAGTGAGGAATTTTGGCAGTTTAGCTGGGAATCCCTTCACAACCGGACGCCTAAATGGTTTGGGGTGTGGCATTACACCACCTTGAGAAGAGTGAGCTGCAGGCTGCTGCTTCTGCACAGTGAAGTTGGCCATGCCTGCCTCTTACTGTTCATACCAAAAGTGATATAATCCTGCATTGGTTTTATGGCGCATACAGAGGGGAACCAGCAAAGGCAGGATTAAGGTCCTGCACTGTTTGAGTGAATGGTGAACTCACTTTGAAACAATATAACTGTGTCTAATTACACCCTTCCTCCATGTCTTGGTGAATGGCAGAGGTGTTAACGAGTGTGTGTGTGTGTGTGTGTACAGAAACCGTGTTCTAAAAAGGCAGATCTCTTGGCCAGCTACACGTGATTATTTTTATAAACTCTTTGTATTTTCAGATTTATCAGTAAATTTTTACTTTATCTGATGGCAGAAGCTTTTCTTAAAACATAATTCCTCTACCGACAATTGTAATACAGGGCTTTCAAATTAAAATGTGGTTTGCTTTTTTGAGAAAGCTATGTAGTTGCTTGTGAAATACACTAATAGTAGTAGTAGTACTACAGAATATAGTAACATTACCCTGTTAATACTTTTATCTTACACACAGACTGATACATAACCGAAACAGTCTAATGTTCTAACATTAAACATACAGGCAGCATTGTTTAATATAAAGTGTTTAAGGTTAAATTAAACGTACATGCAGCAGAACAATGTTTTATGTTTTGTATGCACACTGCAGTGTGTAAAATTCTATGTAAAAGTTTATCTTTGGGGTATGGAGAGAGAGGTGCATTTCCTGAAATACATTTTACGTTAGGGCATTTATTGGTAAATCAACTTGACAATGATAACGTTTATTAGCCTTTGATTATTTTTAATTTATGAAAAAGGAGATAGTTTTACACACTTCCATTAATTGTAATTAGTCAAAAATCTTACATTTTAATTTCATTGTTTGTTACCATTTTAAGGAGCTTTTATAACTTACAAGACCTATTCTCTGTAACAATGTGGGCTTGATTACAGGAAGCATTTGCAAAGGAATCAAGATATACTTGTTTAGAGTAAGAAAGGTGTTTATCTTAGCTCTCATTATAATTAAATGTCTGTATTCATAGGTATAAACTGTTCTGGCTGATGTTGCACTGGTTGTCTTTGACACCTTGAGGAAAAAAGGCCCCCAAAATAAAATATACCAGTGTAGTCTTCCCGTAGTTCAGAATAGATCTCATTAACTCAAGGTTACAGGATATAAACTGTATCAGATCTCTAAATTATTTGAAATATGACATGGAGGGAAAAGTAAATTATAATTATATTAAAATAGATGATATTGTAATTAGCTACTACAGTTAATGGAGATTTTTTTCTTGCAATGTAATTGATTCTACAAAGACCTCTAAAAACTATTTAATGCAACTTTACAGAAGAATGAAATTTTAGTAATACTGCCATTGGTTACTTTTGAGTACAACACTAACAAGTCTGGTATAGAATACTGAGTTCTAAAAAAAAATAAATTCAACTTAAGTTATAAAAGGGGATTTTTTTGTCTTTTTGTTCCTCTGTTGGTGCTTTGGGGGTTTTGTAGCTTGCTGACTGCTACATTTCAGACAACTGGCAGGCATACTCATATGTCAGAGATTTGCTGCACATAGATTCTGTGTACATATGTCTGAGGAAAAAATACTGCAGATGTATTGTTTTTTTCCTTTTCAGCTTGATTTTTTTCCCTTACATAAAGAAACAAGTAATACAGGTTGCCAAAAGAAGAATGCTTTGTAATTAAAGTTTGAATGTAGTTCTTGATGCATACGGATTAACTATCTTTCGTAGTTAATGTAGGTTTCTATAAAGAAATTCTTTAATGAGAAACTTGCTTTTAATTAGACAATGTCCTAAATTTGGAAATCAAGATTTTAAAATGATGGGAAGTTTCTGAGTTTCAGTAGGATCATTTTCCAGTTGAAAATCTAAAAATCATTGATATCTTTATTTTTCAAATACAGCGCTTAATTACTATTGAAAGCAGTGATTTATCTTTTAACAGTATATATTCTAAAAAGTGGGTTATAATAGAAGCTATCTTCCCTTAAAATGGCCAGTCGTGTGAGCCATAATGCTCATTGATAGTAAAATCAATAGAGCATTGATTCTGAGACTTAATCCTTGGAGACTGTTGTTCAGAACAGCGGACGTAGCCTAGTAAATACAGAGTGCTGTTTAAAGTGTTTAATGCAAGAGACTCTGCTGTCTTAATTTATTTTTTTTAACAGATAATTTATAATAGAACGTGGTTGCCAAATGTTAGTTTGCAATCCCGTTTTACATATTGCTGTATTGGACCTTATTTAATCAGTAGTCACATTTTCAGTACATAAATTAATAAGCCTTAGTATAAAAGAAAGGCCTGTGCTTAATAAATTTATAGTAGTATTAAAAAAAAATTCATGATTCTACATATATTTCTCTGAAGCTTTCAAAGGAAGAACATCTGTTGTGAAATCTATCAACCTAATGTGTTTTAAAAATGGTTTTGTTTTCTAAAATGTTTCCTTGTATTCTAACAATAAAATGTTTAGGAATGCATTATTACTTTTAAAATTACTTTAAAACTTCTACTCAATTCTTGAACAAAAAGTTAAGTAGAAGTTCTAGTTTTGAAGTAACATCCTAAGCCATTTTTCTGAACAGAGTTTGCATTAAGGCATCAGTAGTTTTAATTCGTTGTGACTTACTGGGAAGGAAGTTACTTCAAGTATTACAATAATGGATATTAATCTCAGTAGTCTCATAATTTGCATGGAAGATAGAATTCTGTAATATGAATTTTACTGCTGGTAGCATTCAGGATACTGAAGAATCCTGAGTGGTTAAATCTTCTGCATAGATATAATGGTGCCAGCTTGAACAAATGTTTTATCAGAAGTCAGCTTTTCTGGATGTGCTCTCTTAAAGTGTATTTTTTTTTAATTGAAAGCCATTGCTTCTTTTTCTGCTTAAAAAAATGAATTTACTTGTGGAAAATTTTTTTAGTACATCTCCAAGGTATCAATTTAATAACTATCAAAGTAGCTAGTGCAGTTGTTGCATTTAAATTGATTTACATGTCAAGACTGGCAGTTTAGCAGCTGCGCTATTATTCCTGGATTGGTCAATTTACTTGAGAAAAACCTACTACTGAGTTCTACTGACCTGCATGACAATATAGGCCCTATTTCTATTCCTGTAATTAGGCCTGCGACTAACTCAGAATATTTTTAATTAAAATATTTTGGTCAATGTGTTGCACCAAATTAGGCCTTTCAGTGCAGATTTAATTCTGGAAATGGTGTGATTAGAATATGTAATGAGTTGTGTTCAATTTAAGATTAACAGGTTGTGCATCTGGAAAATACAGGTTTTTGAGTTTACTGTAGAGATTTTTGTTTGAAACTTTACTCTTCAAAGTTAACAAATAGAAAAATCTGTTTTGCATGTCTGTGGCTTGTTTATTTTTAAATTGATGGTAACATACTGTAAATAAAAGACTCCAGACATACTAAGATGTTTCAAGACATCTGTGTGAAGAAAAACAGACAAATTGTCATAAAATGGTTTCTCTACAGTCAGTGGTGTTAGTAAAATTAAACAGTTTTAAAATAGATTGATTTTTGGCGACAGCTTTTCAAATAGAAAATCAAAATCATCTTGCTGTGAACTTTGTTTTCCAACATCAAAATCAAGCCTTTAACTTAAAATTCATATCTGACACGGAATTGATGTTAAGTCTGGCAGCATTTTTACTGAATGGATATTGTGCTACTAAAGGACAAAATAAAAGCAAAAATACCTCTCCCCTCCCCCAACACTTGTGCTTTTAATTTGTAAAAGAAAAATGGGTTTCTCTAGTGTTTGAGACTTTTGTTCTTTGCTGCCTATTTAGTAGTGTGTGGTTTGTTATTTACTTCTATCATGGAGACCTGCCCACTGATTACTAGGCAGGTAGAACACAGCTACGTTTCTAGTAGTCTGTTATTTCAGAAGTGAATGAACTGGGGAGTGTGTGTGTGTGTGTGTGTGTGTGTGTGTGTGTGTGTGTGTTAAAGGAGCACTCAAATTATTTATTTTAATTGCAGAAGACTAGATATGTTTCCCCAGCATTTGGTTCTGGATTCTGTTTGTTTCCAGATGCAAGCCTAGCAGCTAACAAAACAAGACATTGCTCTACAACCAGCCCCCTAAACAAAAACAAAACTAAAAACCACACCAAAACCTAAATGATCTTTTGTGCGTGTATTATTCAAGCTGTCTGTAGATTATCATTTGTTTTGTTTAATAATTGGATGGTTTGGCTTATTTCATTTTTAGCTCTCCATGAAAGCCTGTTATATTTGCTACTGTAGGTATGATGATATTCTGATCAATGGACTACCAGATTGGCGACAGCCTGTGTTCTACTACAGGCGGGTGAGAAAAATGAGCAATGCTGAGCTGGCATTACTCTTGTTCATTATACTCACAGTGGGTCATTATGCTGTGGTTTGGTCAATCTACCTGGAAAAACAGCTGGTAAGTATTGGTAATAAATCAAACTTGCTTCAATTATTAGTATTGAATTTCCTGCAGAAGTTTGCATATTATAGGGATCTCTTCTACTTCCCCTGTTTTGAATTTGGACTTTTTGTATTTTAAAAGCATTATATTTAAGATGGCGATAACTATAGAATGAACTACACAGAAATAGTAATCTAAAAACTGCTTAATTTTTCTACAGTTGGTAATTACTAGCGAGAGATGGTTCTTTGGTTTTTAACTGGAAGGAAGAAGAGGAATAAAAACTCTTCTATCATCTGTTGACACAGAATCGTATGCTACTGTAGTTGTGTCTATGGTTTCCCCAAATGATGTTTAAAAATAATTAGTTTTCATTCATTCAAAAGTCATACTTGCTTTGCCTTTGTTCTTAGCCAAATGCTTTTTTGTTTTGGGTTTTTGTTAACAGGATAGGCATTGGTAAGCAGTATAAACCACATTTTTTTTTTTTTTTTTTTTTTTTTTTTTTTTGTCATCTAGAGATCTGTTGCTCTTAGTAGACTAGACAAAAACCTAAGCATAACTTGAAAAATATTCATACATTAGCATCTATTTACTTTTTTTTTTTTTTTTTTATTTTCCACTGCATTATTGAAGTTGATGAATGAGAAAGGAGGCAAGTTGAATGCTTTCCCCTCTTAGAAAACTTTGATTGCTATGGAGATACACATGAGTGACAGAACTGGACTTCATGTGTGTTTAAAGACTGGATACCATGGCAACAGTTATTGTTAAGATAGATCATTTTACTTAATCATGTAGGACCCCTAGATACATTTGCATAAATGCTACTCTACTGTTTACCCTTCACAGAAGAGTCCCAGTAACATTTGTGGTTTACATGCTAATGATAACCTGTAACCGTAGTTCTTTCTACATCAAGGATGAACTGCTTAGCAGAAAAAAGAGGGAGAAGAAGAAAAAAACAGGCAGCAGGGGTACAGATGAAGCCAAACTTGCTGCTCTAGACAAAAATGAAAGGTGGGAAGGAACTCTTTTGTTTTCTGCATTTTAAATCATTTTATCAGCTGCTGGTTTAGTTCTGTCATGTTCTCCTTGCATCTCTGAAATACTTTATGAGAAAAATAACTGTATTTTAGTAGTAACAGCCATTGCTGATATAAAGCGTGCCAGTGTAGATGTGTTGTCAGCTTTTGATTTGGAAATGCATGTGTGGTGTTTATTCAGCAGATCAACAATAATTGAAAGATTAAGGCTGAATTAATGGTATCTGGCTTATAGAAGGGTGTATTATTTCTACAAGATTATTTTAGAAGATTTTACAACTTCTTCCGTCTTTGAAGATTTTTTGCTTTTTTTACAATTAACAATTTTCAATTTGTTTAAGCTTTAGTTTATTAACATACGGAGCAAGGAGTTTTTGTGGGGGTTTAATGCTTGTCTGATTTAATGCTTTTTATCTGATTAACTTAGAAATAAGCATGTTGATAAAAGCTTCTAAAACCATTGTTTGTTAAGAAACGCGTAGGCAAATAGTGACTTTCAGGACACTCCAAAAGATACCACCATTTCTTCTATTGATTCATAGAAAGAAATAAAGGGTTTAAATAGTTCACACAGCAGGGGCATGAACTGGATCAATGCAGGATGGAGATCAGAGACCATTCTGCCTGTCGTCTTTCCTGATGACATCAGTGAGTAATGCTCCAGTGAACTGCAAATGACATTAATTTTTATGTATTGTTTTGTTTATGCTACAGTCTTCATATCTGGTTGTCAGCACTTGTGAACACTTGGTTGAGGCTTGAGGTTTTTCTGGGGATTTGTTTGGTTTATTTTTTCAAACTGATTATGTAGCTTAGGAATTTATCTTCTTGAAAAGCTCTTTTTAAGAGATTAAAATACAGCGATGATTAGAAGTTAGCTGTTATGTATTTTTAATTGAATAGTCAAAATGTATTTTTAATATTATGCAGTTACATGCTTTTATAGGAGTTGACAAGTGCTAATCATCTTAAAGGATATGGTGGAGTTCTGACTTTAAGATTGTGTGGAAGTAATGAAAAACTTACAATTTTATTTGACTGCAGAGTACTGGACAAACCACAGTGGCATGACTTACTTCCATGCAAGCTGGGAATATGGTTCTGTCTCACTGTGAAAGCTTTACCTCAGCTGTTCCAGGTAATAGTAATGATTTTAAGTTCTATTACTTTATTTTTCTTGATGGTGTTATTATGCATAATCAGATGCATAGCACTTGTTCGTACAAATCTTTTGGCTCAAGCACGTACCATGTGTGTATATATACATATACACACACGTACAAAAAATTACTCTTTGGAAGCAAATATATTATCATAAGTTCATCAAAATATGAATATATTTGAAATGTACATTAATCTTAATGTGCTAGAGAATTCAGCAGCAGTTCCTGTTAGGAAAAATTACAAGAATATATTATGGTGTGGGTGATATATATACATGTAAAAAGACACTGGTATTCCTAATGAGTGATCTGTTAACAAAAATATTTTTATCTCAAATAGGCAAATGCTGTGCTTTCACAGCAAATATTAATGTCATTTAAATTTGGGGGAACGGTGAAATTACTTTTTCTGATTTAGGTTTTCTAAGTCACTGGTTAATAATATAAATCAATACCTGAAAATACTACTAAGGGTAAAGTAACAAAGGTATGGTTGTAATTTATAAACGTCAGCGTGGCAGACTTGCCCACAGTTGTGTGGTTTTGATTTAATAATCTAAACTGTAAAATTTAGTTGATACTCAGCCAATGTAAGTGTTGTCAGATCTGTTATCAGGATAACTTTTTTAATATGACATGGTCTTTCTTTTCATTTCTCTTGAATACATCCATTTGTTTTTAGTATACTTGTCACTAATGAATATGAATCAGGGAATGCAAGGTGGATTTTACTTTGGTTTACAGAAACATTGAGTATTAATTTTGAAATAGAAATAACATCAGTGTTCAATTTCTGTCTGTGTTCAAGCTGGGAAAAGCATAATTCATAAGCATAACTCATAATTCCTAATCTGTTAGCAAAAGGCTTATAAAAATTATAAAGTCTGGTCTTTCAGCACCCATTTTAACTTTTCCTGCAAAGAGATGCAAAAGTTAGTATCTTCCACTTTTAAAAGTTTCACCAGAGCTGTGTGGTTATTTTATTTAAAGAAACCTTTCCTTTTTGCAAGTTTTCAAAGCAAAAATGATTGTGCTTAATAATATCAACTGTTGTGTCCAAATTAAGCTTTGATGCTCATCCCTCATTTTGGTGAGTCAGATGGAAAAGAATTTTGTTCAGCAACTGCTGTTGCTGCATTTTTGGAATCTTCTTCATAATTATCTTACTTTCTGTTTTGTCTTAATTGCAAAATATTCAAAATACGTCTTACAATCAAAGTTATTTTCTCATTTTTTAATTTCAGATAGTCTGTTAAGAAGTCAGTGTAACAGGTTTCAGATTTGCTCTTCAAAAAGCAGCTCCTATCTTAGCCAGAATAGGCAGAAAAGACGAATAGAGCAAAAGTGGTTTTGCACTTTGTAGACACCTAGCCAATACGTCTTGTGGATTTTAAATCCATTAAATTAATAGTAGTGGGGAAAAAAAAGCTATCTAATAACTCATGGAAAATTGGATACCAGCAAGCAGGGATTTATTGGCAGGGGAAGCATGATGTAGAGGAATTCAGGACAGGAAGGCTTTGGAGCAAGGAGGATGCAAAGAGATGAGGTTCTAGAGTAAATTGCCCTGTATGTGAATTATACTACAGCTTGACTCCAGAGTTTTTGTTGGTGTTTAGGATGACCTGCCAATTACATAAGTTAAAGTACAATAAAATACAAGTAATCTTCAATATTAAGAATATTCAGGACTTCAAATAACTGAAATAAATTACTGTAGCTTATTAGCTAACAATATTTAAAGAAGTATTACCTCTTCTGAAGAGCATAAGAGCAGCAGTGACCTCATGCTGGTGATTTTTTCTGAAACGACAGTGCAGAAGATACCTTGTAGATTATAGCTAGCTGGACAGGAAAACCTCTGGGCTCCGTTCGAGTTGTATTTAATGTTTTAGCAAGTTCTGTCTTAATTGAATTACTAAAATAATAGCAAAAAAGTGTCTGTTCTTACATGATTATAACCTGGAACAGAGGTCCTGTTTTGAGTGTAAGTGCTTTTTACTTCAGTAATGCACTAACATAGGCTTGAGATTTCAGTGTTTCACACTTTTAGTATAAATAGAATCACTAAGGCAGCTTATCTAGAAGATAAGACTCATACTGATATTGAGTAGTGTTATTTGTGCTAGTTACACATGCAAATTATTTACCAAGGTGTTACAGTGGTTGACATAAGGATGACTGCTACAGATTTTAGTTGTTTATCAAGTTAATCTTAAATTATTTCTTCAGTCACTTAAGAGCCAACAAATTATTTTCAAAGTTGGCTGTCATTCATCTGCAACTAATCCTGCCAATTACAGATTAACTTCTAAAAATGTGTCCATATTTAAATGAACCCTGTTTGGGACAGAAAAGAGTAAGAGTTAGCAATACTTTTAATGAAACGTTGCTTCTGCCACTGAGATTTTTCAAAGCCCTGACAGTGAAATAGCTGAACTACTTCCTCAAATTAAGGAAACAAAACCACCTGCTTGTGTACACAAGTTCTTCCTCAAAGGAAATTTTATTAAATAAAGAAAACAATAAACACACACCCCCCAAAGAAAAAAACAACACAAAAAAACCCAAACAAAAAAACAACCAAAACCCTCGACAAAACAAAATGGAAAAAAGCAAACCAAACAAAAAACAAAGAGAGATCAATTTAAACTTTTTGTGAGTTCTTGTATTCATTCCTTTTACCTAGCATCCGTCTCTCCCCCCGTTAGTTAATGCGAATATTCTACTTACAACAGCTCCATCTGAGGATTCAGGTTGCTGAGCTTCTGCCCATGCCCGTCTCTCATTTATCCGATTGAGTGTCTTTCTCCTACTTCCCTTCCTCCTTCAAAATGTCAGATTTCAGAAGGAGGCACTTAAAATAATTAAGGTGAGCCTTTACTGAAGAAAAATGCTTTGTTTGCATGCCCTTCTGATGGCCTATGCCATTTTATCGTAGTCTGCATTTTATGTCAAGAAACTGGAAGAAAAATGGGTGAGAGGAAGATGAGAGAAACTAAAAAATGATTGGTTTTGTTGTTTTTTTTTTTTAAACTGTTGACAATTGTATTTTGAGAGAGGTTGCGTAGGTTTTTATATCCAAGCATTTAGTTTAGTTAAATTTGGGGGAGAAAACAGCATGTTTAAGCTTGTTTGAAGAAGCAAAGGGGAAAGAATACATAAAATGTGTCATAAATCAAGTATCTCTGGTGTGAAAGAAACATTAAGTGGAGTGTAAATTACATTGACTATTATCAAGTTTAATTCTTATAATGTAGGCTCAAGAAAAAAGATAGGAAAAGAATGCAAATTGTTTCTAAGGTCATTTATAGTTTCCTCTTTCATGAGAATGGCCAGGAAGAAGTCTATATATTTAAGAAAATAAATAAAAGAAGAAGAAAAAAAAACCCCGACTTTAATTAAAATGCTTATTGGAACTGAAAATTGTTCTTACAAAGAAGTTAACCAACCAAATATAGTGTGCAAGAATTGAAGTTCAGATGATGAATGTAATGCAGAGGGGACAGTTGTGTTAAGTAAACTTTCATTTTGTGGTAGAAGAGTCATATGTAAATTGCAGTTTATTCCCAAAACAGCTTACGAGAGGTTTTTCTTTGGATGTGCAGACATACAACTTAAGCAAAGTCTTTTTAAAAAATGTTAATTATTCTTCACAAAGTATTTCTTTCAGAAAACTGAAGATAGGAACATTAATGTTCTGTCAACTACTTTTCCTCCACCTTGATGGGGTGAAGCTTAGCAATGAATGTCTTTATTTTTACACCAACTTAATTAATACTAGTCGGCACTAAGATATATATTTTTTTTATTAGTTAAATAATTTCTGGAAGAACTTCTGGTAGCTTGCCAGTAACGTGAAGGCAGTTTGAGCTCAGTATGTAGTAGTACTGGGTATAACCTAATGAAATTCTCAACAAAGGTTTCAATTACAGTTGAAACTTTCGCTTATAAAGACCTTTGTATAGCGTGAAGTGAATTAAAACAAAAAGGCCAGTAATTTATTTTTATGTAGACTACCAGATGGTAATTACTGTAGCTGATTTAGTAGCCTGGAATAGATTCAAACTAGTGACCCAGAGGTGTTTAATTTCTTGGCATTTTTTCTTCAGGTTTTCTTTTAATCCATGATTACATTTCAACACCTGTTTAGAGATGGTTCAGCTTTGGCCTTAAACGGATTGGCAATGTGTCATTAAACTCAAGAGGCTTTGCCAGCAGGGCATCTCCTTTGGCAAAGTTAGCTTTTAAGTAAGATTTGATTAGGTCAGCAAACATTTATGTAGGTTGTTTTTGTCTTCACGTATTACTTTATATAAAATCATCGTGTGAGATTAAAATAAAATTTACTGCATTTAGTAACATACTCCCTAAAATGAGATTTTTGGAAAAGATTTATTCAAGTCAGTAAGGTTAAATATCTCCTTAATTCCCAGCTTTACAAGGTTTTAATGTGTTCCAACTTACTGTACAGCACCAGTGCTGATACAAATTGTGAGGAGCGAGCAATTGCAGGATGTGTGGCACGAGTGATTGCCTATTTGCTCTGTTTCTTGCTATTTTGCAGCTGTTGGAAGAACCAAAGTAGGGATGAAGCTCTTGACCCTGAGGTCAATTAGAAGCTTAGAAGCAGGCCAGAGGAGAGTGGATGGTAAAACAAGTATTCTGGGTGTATGCAAGTGAGCAAAAATAACTTGCGTCTAACAGTACTGACTGAGACTCTAGAGACAAAATGGGCTTTGCTGCATAGTACAAGTTCTAAGTAAATGTAAGACACTAAAGAAATTTGCCTTTAATAGCCTGCTGTTCTGTGACAGCAAATTTTGTTCTGCTCCTTTGAATTACTCACTGTATGTCTGCATATCCCAGCACATGTGTTGGAGGAACATAGCTCCAAGAGTAGCTCGTGTATGAGGCAATACTGCCTCTCAATTAATGGTACTGTTCCATTGTGGTGTGAGGCTTTGTGGGTTGTGAATTGGTCCCGGGAAGGCCTTGCAATATTGGCCTTGGTTCCCCCTTTTGCCCACCTTTGGTCCACCACTCTGGCTATATACAGCTGACAATCCTGGCCATACCTGGTATTATTTCAAGGCCAAAGCACAATTTTCTGATTATTATAAAGGAGGAAGTAATACAATTCCTATTTATTTGCTAGTTTACCTTTGAGAAACATGTAGAAATGCAAAAGATAAAGATAAATCATAATGTTGAACTTTTTTTAACATTATTTTTTACCAGAACACATTGATACCACTAGTCTATAAACCCATCAAAAGAGTGGTTTTGCTGTGGTATAATGGATGGCATTTTCATTGCATAGAAATAGTGAAGCAAGGGGAAGATATTGCAGTAATTTTAATTTGACTCCATTTTTCTCTTTGTGTTTTTGTACAAATTGTATAAGAACACTGTACTCAAAAAAAAAAAAAACAAACCAAAATTAGTTCAGGAACTTCATACAAATACCTCTTCAAGTCTATAGATTGATTTAATAAGAACTAATGCAAAGAAAATTATTTCAATATACTGATTTTAAGTATGCTTGTGGGAAAATTTCCTGTTAACTGTAAATTCTGGGTGGATACATTTTGGTTTTATCAGTCTCTCACCTAGAGAACTGAAATGTGAAGCATATTCTATGACAAACTCTGTAACGAAGATTCACATATGGCCAATACAGCAGGTTGTTTCCAAAGTTTATTTCTCCTGATCTCTAGTCTTTCTGAGGTAGACCACAAAGCCAGGAAGATTAGCTGGAGGGAAAAATAACCCCACAACACAAACAAAACAACAAAACCTCGTCACCCTACCCAAGAGTGAAGGAGAGGCCAAAGTGAGTGAGTCTTACTCAGAACTAAGTTTTTAATTCCAGAGTTAGTGCAGTTTGAATAAATACTATATTTGTTGATTTAAAATGAACAAACAAAAAAGTTGCCCCTGCCAAAATCCCAATCAAATTAAAAACCCCTTAAACTTCCAGCATCAAAAATTTCTGTATTTCTGTATAACTCAAGTGCAGCTTTGTCTTGGAAATCTCAAATTTCTTGACACAAGACAATACTGATATAAAAAGGAACTAAAATACAAGATTTTTCCACTATTCTTCATTCTTTCTTATGGTTAAAATATTGAAAATACATTAATTAAGAGCTTGTATGTTGATTTTTTTTTTTTTTTTTTTTTTTTTTTTCTTCCAGAACACTTTTTGAAATTTTTAGTTAAACATGAGGGTAGTCACAGGAACTTCCTATACAGACCAGTTGAAATATAATGTAGAAATATTAATACCAGAATTTTGAATTTCAGATATAATCTTTTTTTAATTCTGTTCCTTTTTGGGAAGTTTATATTCAAAATCACAGTACAAAAGACCAGAGCATATTACCCTTCATCACTTTTCTTTTTGCTTAGCTATATGCATTGTTGCTTTGATGGTGAAGTAATGTATTTATGTTGATATTATTTGAAAACTTCTCCAACTGCTGCAAATGAGAACAAAGTATTTCTGATTAGATAAGGTGTAGCTTTTAGTTAGAACATTTCCAGTTGTGTTTCTGTGTCCCTTTCCCCCTGCCCAGAAAGACAGAAATGTTACTTTTCTTATGTTTATTACCTATTAAAGGTGAACTATACATCAGGTCTGAAATGTCGATGTGCATATTTTGAGCTGTTTGGGGAAAGATCCTCTAAAAGAAAAACCATTACTGAATCCTGGGGAAGGCGCATTAGATTGAGAGAGTGTGTATCTATACTACCAGTGGGTTTAGGGCCCTAAAATGTTTGTATTGAGGCAAAATGACTACTTGAATTTATCACTTTGGAAAGTAAAAATTCTAAACATAAATCTGTTTTGAAAAACTCTGACTACCAAAAGTGAATATGCTTGAAAATGAATATTCCTGTTTAGACTGATACTATTGAAAACTAATGAGGAGTAAATTGAAATGTGCTTATTTATGTTAAGGCAGAAGTTTTCTTCAAAGAACTTCTATTTTAAACTGTCTTCCAGTGATTTGTTGTTGGGTTTTTGGTTTTGTTTTTGTTTGGGGTGGGGTTTTTTTGTTTTGTTTTTTTGTTTTGGTTTTTTTTTCCATTTTGATGTATAAGGTCGGATACCCATCTAGTTTGTGTCTGGCTAAAATCTTCACTCAGGTATGTCTTTTAATTTCTCTTTACAACCTGTAGAGCCATTTCTTAGGCTTTTGTGGGAAAGATTTGATTTTCAAATCTTCAGAATCCATTTTGATTTTTTTTTTTCCCCAGTTTTTTTTTCTCCTTCGCTTTATACATTTTTATGTGTGATTCAAAATGTGCAGTCTCCCCTTTTTTGTGATTATGGTACCACCATAATAAACTGTGATTAATAAAAGACTAATGTTGCCTTTGTTACCTGCATATTACTCCATTTGCAGTGATAATCCATTTTATATCTCTAAAGCAACAATACTGCTAAATTTCATTTACGTGCTTCTGAATAGTTTTCTTTGTTGTTCAGCTATTGTGTCTCATTTTCATCTGAGCCACATTTCCAATTGTTCCATGATTGACATGCTGGAGAGATTGACAGTTACCCCCTAGTGCCTGCTGTCTGGAGATCCCACAAGCAATAATGGATTTTACACCAGAATTTAGCGTCAAATATTGGCTTTCAGTGTCAAATGGGTTAAATTTAAATGCCAGTTAATTGTAGCCATTTTGAAATCATAGCCTTAAACAAAAGCATTTTTTGGATATCAGTATTTGAGTCCTGTGTATGCCACACAGCACAAATGTCTCAAACTTACAGCACAAGTTAACCATTATATTTATGGCTGTTTCTGTTTCTTAATCATGCAAATAGTCCAAATCTGGAGAGTGCAAGGAAAGTTTCCATATGCAGTCGGGAATTCATATTTCAGGTAAACCAAAAGGAAAACCAATGCTGATCCTAATTTTTTAATTAAATTTTCTAGCATAGAAAATGAGTGTGCTTCCTCAAAGTCTTCGTATCTGCTGTTAACGGTAGCCCTCCTATACCTACACATGTTTTTTTTAGCCTCAATTCTACTAAAGCCACCAAAACCCCCCTCTTCCCATCCCCAAAACCAACACTGAAAGTGTGTGAGTTGCTCTCATCTGTTATGTTCCCACAGTAAAAAGTTATGTAAACTCTTTAAAATTTCTTCTATGCATAGTGGTTTCTTACATAAACCTGGCAGAGAAATGTAACTTCCCATTTCCTGTACCCAAATGTAAAGACAAATAGAGAGTAAGAGGTATTTTGAAAGAGATTAAATCTTACTGATGTTTTGTGGGAATTTGTCAAGAGTTGTTCTTCAGGCACACTGACATGTATCAGTGAGATGTCTCCAGAACATTAGGAAGTTCTGAGGTGGATCGTGGTTCTGTCCCATGTTTTCTCACTTTCCTCAAGTGTTTTTGAAGGGGTAGATACCAGTACAATGCAAAGAACAACTTGTGTCATATTATCTTTGCAGAAAGCAATGTTTTTGGATGACTTCTACCATTAGAGGCAGCAATGACTGCTTAACTTAATTTTAATTTTCAAAATTTATTAAGATGTCTTATTTTTAATGAGACTGGGTTTTGTTCCAATATATGGGATTATAGTTGAAATTATAAAAATATTTACTGATGTTTTACAATACATTCTACATTAACATTTAAATTGTCCTTTGTATGTAAAAAGCAGGACTGTTAATGTAATAAGAATGAAATTATTTTTGGCTATAAAGAACTAAAATTAGGTTTATATAATACTGTGATTTTGGTTTAATACAATAGATGTTCTGCATATTTGGAAATGATAAATAATAATCTGTCTATTTCAGCATTTCTATTATAGGCTCATTGTTTCTGAATGAGTACAGAAGTCTTTTAAGCTGGTGAGAGTCTCTTACTTCAGCAGTCTGGTTGTTCAAATTGGAAAGCTTTCAATGCAAAAGTATAATTACTAATTCATCAGATTTTGGAAACGTGTACCTTACTGGAGATTTGTGACAGGAGTCTAGTTTTTCATGTGTAAATTTGCCAAATAGATTTCAGAATAGAATCGAATGCTTGGGAAAAAAAAACCAACCCAAACATAGTATCTATTTTCAACACTTTAATTGCAATCTAGAACTTGGTTTGGGGGGGGAGCAAATAAATAAAAAGGAAGAGTTGGATTTTGGAACATGCAGTTAGTATTGCCATAGTGGGTTCACCCTAAGATGACTGTGGCCTAGCAATCGCCTTTGTCCCTGCACATACTACTCTAATTAAAAACTTTTCTTTCTTCCTTGAACTTCCAGATTGCTGATGTGAACAAAGTGGCTACATGGCCTCTTACAAAGCTATAGGTAGCGATCAGAAATGTTTTTCTAACGATTTTACTCATCAGGTTGTCAGTGAGCACCAAAGTCTATAATATCTACATTATTACATTTGAACCTTTATTACACAAAAATTCTACATTCTCAACAAATACTGTCTATACTGACAATTGCTGTAACTCAAGAGAACGAATGTATCTTAAGTTTTTCTGCAAGGTTGATTGAGAACTTAAAACAGAGCCATTGCAATAACTTGTTTGTATAAGGATGCTAATACCATTGCAACATTTTCTTAAAGGATGCCAGACAATTATATGTAGAATATAAAGAAACAAAAATGAAGGCGAAAGAAGATGCCCTGGCTAAGGCTGAACTTGAAACACTTCAGAGTGAGTTTTTACCACTGTCTTAATAAAAAGATGTAATATATACCTACCACACAGGATGTATATGAACAAACATTTTTATAATTTTCTAAAATGCGTGCTCTATGTATTTCTGTACTGTGGTTAAATTTAAAAAAGCTTTTAATTTTTGTCTAGTTTTGCAGTAGGCTGCTGGCTTGTTCCTACAGAAGCATAAAACTCGGGTGGTAGTTATATTGCAGCAACAAAAGCATGCTTTACTAGAAATGTTGCTTTACAGGAGAGGGAAATCTCAAATGCATAGATTTTGAAGTATAAATTTTCAGATGTGACCTCTTGTATTTTGAGCATTCTTGTATTCTCTTTATCTGTAAATATTTTTTAAAATATGCTTAATAATTGTTTTGCATATTGAGTTGATTTTTGTGATAGAAATTGAACATAATTTGAATTTCCAAAAGCATGGATGCAGACTTCGGAGATGGATTCATGCTATTGTTGAAATAAATGCTTTAAAGTCTTTCCGCTTTTATAAAAGGCCAGGGAAGACAATTGCCATTTCCTTTAATAAAGTATTCAGAATAATTATAGATGACTTTTCCTTTTCTTCTTTCAGTTGCTTTTGACAACGATTAAACTTACCCTCTTCTGAAGACAATTTTAGAAGTTTTTTTGTTAGTGTTTGTATGTGCGTGCTTGCTTTATTTACCATACTTAAGTGCATGCTTTTAAGTTCCTTTATTCTGACAAGTGCATTGAGTGCGCTATAATAATTTACTAGCTTTGAGTATGCATAAGCCTTTAGGCACTTAAAATACAGCTGCATTATTTATATTTACAAAATAGCTTAAGTTTGTAAAATCAGCAAAGAGATCCAGTTTCAGCAATAATTCCAACTTATCTGTAGCTGAATCTATTCTGAGAAAATGGGTGACATTCAGCACCTCAGTGAGCATCATGGACCCAGGCCAAATCTAGCAAAATAGTGCATTTAATGCTTGTTAGGGAGGCCTGCCATTATATTTGAGATACCTACCACAAAATGGGCCTTTGAAAAGAGTCTTGACTCGGGTTATTAAAAACTTGTTAAATTGTCAGATAGTAATGTATTTCCATTGTTCAAAATAGCTGGCATACATTCTTCATTGAAATTTGTGAACTACTGTTAAAAAAGGACTAGTTTTTGGAAACAGAAGTGCATGTGAAAGTATAAAGTCATTAAAATTGTGCGTGTACTTTCCTGTGTTTGACTGAAAGACCGTGTGTGAACTTTTCAGTATTTCCCCTCTGCCAGGTGTCACAAGAGTAGGGTGTTTTGGTTTTTTTTTGTTACTTCCATTAACAGTGCCCACATATGAGAAATGTGAGTTTGGCACATTTCCCCTCTGGGTCACCCGTGACCTCTCACCAGCCTGCCCCGCGTCATGCTGCTGGGTGTGACATGGCATGACCCCCCCATGTCTGCTGGGTGACCTAGTGTCACTTGTGTGAGCAGGGGCCAGTCCTCAGCAGTCTTATTGGCTGTCATCCCACCCTCCCATGGAAGGCTTGCTGGCAGGGAGCAGGAGGAAGGATTGAGAGTCACCACCTGTAATCAGCAGAGTTTGAAATCTGGCACAGAAATAATTTGGTCTGTCACAGCAGTGCTGTCGCTGGGCAGTAGAATGAGCTGCTGGTTACCTTCTTTTTTTTGTTTGTTTTTTAAAGAAATAAGACTCCCAAGAGAAGAACAAGAGTCTTGTAACATCTATGTTACTGTAGGCAAAAAAAGTTATATCATTTTTTTTACTGAACCTTGCATGCAAAGCATCTGTTAAATTTGCTTGTTTCATTATATTGTTCTGCATTGTCACCTCACAATTAGCATAGAAAGGTTGTAAATCACCAAATGTGTATTTTGTTTGCCCCCATTCTACTTAATTTTAGAGACCATCCGTGGAATGCAAGTTCATAATAACAGTTCCATCTATCTAATTGAGTAAATTTATCTCATGCAGATTAGCAATAGCTGATTTACAGTGCTTGTTTTTTCATGACCTAATTGCTAGTTTACCCTCGTGTCTATCTGCTTCCCTGCTGAAACTGTGCAGTGTTCTGTAGGCGGCTTGAACTAAAACCAGAGAAAAGTACTGAAGGAGGAAAATATAATTTGCAAAGTAGGAAAGAGTGGACAGTATTAACATGTCATTAAAGTGCTATATTTGGTAAGGAGTGTGAAAAAGTAATCTTTGTCAAGGTAATATTATGCACAATTTTGACTTATTTTTCCAGCATTTTTGTAGGGTTTCTTATCACTTCTCAATCCGTTAAAAACTATCATTGCTACCTTAGAAGAATATAGCAACTTTACCTTACAAAAACATAACAACTTACAATACAGACCGTATGTTTCTAGGAAATGTTGTTTTGTACAGAATTACAGATAACTGATTGTTTTATTTACAAAAATATAAATGGTTTGCCTTACATTTTCTGATGCTCTTCTCACATTTAGATACCAGAACACAAAATTTATTTTAAAATGGAAGTGCTTTAATTAATGAACTTTAATTTCTCCATCTCCTGTATTGTCACACATGCATATGATCCCTGCATCAGGGAATAATTCCATATCAATAGATAGCCCTGTTCTTTATAGTCATGGGATGTAAAAGAAAGTACGTGTTAACTGAACTGAGTAGTCATTAAGCTGAGAAGACTTAGGCATACATTATCAGGACAGATGGCTGTCCAGTTTTTAAACATAAATAGAGTAGTTATCAGGACAAATTCTAGCAACTCTACTGGTCCTCTTCTTGCATGAAGTACTTCTTTCAACCACATCTGTTTTGGGAGAAAAACATCTATTTTTGTTTCCTTAGCCTTAGTAGTTCTCTTCATTTCCATTCTTATGTTTGTTGTCCGTGACCTTCAATATGAAGACTTAAACTTATTCTTAAAATACGACTTTTTAAAGAAGTAACACCTGCTAGATATTGCAGGTGAACTCTTCACTGGCATCCCAATTACCAAAGATACTTGCACTGTAAATCCAGAATTCTTGGCCTGATGTACGGGGCATCTGGAACAATCCCTGTTGGTAGTTATGAACCATGTTGAATAGTATGTAGTTTTTTGGGTTTTTTTCCTTACCCCCATCATTCAAGCTTTAATGGAAATATGAAGTTACTAGCCTTCTTTCTGTATTGGGGCTTTATGATGGTAGCTATAGTGGTATTTATATCTCCATATAGGGCTTTATATTAAGAAATGTCTTGCTGTGAAACACCCAGAGTTGTAGTGAAACCTTTAATAGTGCATTTGATCAAGTTCGGTTAGGCTCAGTGGTTCTCCCTTTCCAGACAGCTTGGAATAGAGCATGCTGCTTTGGTAGTGTTTCATATTGTTTCATGAAACCTAGAGACAGAAGACATCACTAGATCATGTAGTATAATGTGTTTATTTCAAACCCTTACAGGCAAAAATGAGTGAAAAAATTCTGATCCTCGTGACTTGTCTTGTTTGACTTGTACCAGTGATGTACTTTAGCTTTTAGTATCTTGTTATGCAAGATACAGTATTGAATTGAAAGCCTTGAGATGCCTTCTGTTCTTAATGGTTTGTTCAGACAATTAATTTTAGTGTTACATAGTTATATCTTAATTTCAGTACAGATTTCTCTAGGTTTAGTTTTTTAGTTGTTTTGTTTACAGATTCACAGATTCCCATAGTTCCATTGCACTGGTAGCTCGTTTCAGATTGCTTAACCACCAGACCTGCAGGCTCTTACATCAAAGGTTCCTTGCACACAGTCCCTCATCAGTGCAGATATGGCATAAGATCTGTAACTGTAATTTTAAAAAATGCTTTTGATTTGATTGGTCCTAGACTACCTGCCAGTCCATGGTCTTACTTCTTCCTGTACTTTCCCCTTCACTGTAAACCATTTTGACCCAATTTATGTAATCTAGCCCTATACTGAAGGTGACTTTACATCTATTTCTAAATAATAGACAAATATCTTTGATAATTGTGTTTAGTGTTAAGCCCTGCCAAAATGCAGTGTTCAGATGCCTGCTCAGTAATGATTTGCTGATAGGCAGGTTCAGAGAAAATTACTTCATATAATGCATGCTTTTTTGGTCAGTGTGGGTGTGAATGTTCTGATCACTTAATTGTTACCTCTGAAGCCTAATTATGGCAAACTAAGTATCATCTGTTTCACTGATTGTTTTGGCAGGCCCGCTGAAAGGATTTTGAACTTGCAAGCTCATGTGTTTTTCCAGTTGTTTCAACTAGGCTGTCTGTTGCCTCTCGCTACAAAACTTGCTTCAGATTTTATGGAAAATATTCCACTCACATACAGAGTTAGGAGGCTCATTTGAAAGAGCCATGCGTGTTTCATTATATGTTTGTTTGTTAGAAGGCAAATTAACTCTCAAATGTTGGAGGTTTATTTCTAGCCGTTTCATATTATGGAGATGAGGTATTGGGGGGGGGGTGTTGAAAGTTTGGGAAAGGGTAGATAGAGAAAAAGATGAAAGACATCAAAACCTACAGCTTGTGAGAAGTTTTTTATAGTTGATGATCCATTCATCACTGAGCATGTTTTTAGTCAGTTTGTTCAAAAATAAACTAGCTTCTAGGTCTCAGTACAGCAGATGTATGAATCTGTTTCCAACTCATGATGCTTTCATATAATCCCATTGACTTTGAGTTCAGAAATGTGTATTTCTTAAACATATGAGTGTTTGAATATAGTTTGCTCCATTGTTTTCAATAAACTGTCAAAACCTTAGCACAATTTTTTTCCAGACTGTTGGGTCTGTTGTATTCTTTCTGACTGTTGCTGTGCATGCAAGTGAATTTTTCTCTGTCATGTTTTAAACAAATTTTGATGCTGTAACTGGTTTGTTGTTACATACATTATTGAACAACATTGCAAGAAAGTGGAGCACAGTGCAGTATCTTACTGACTTGCCAAAAAGGCGTTTGCTCTCTACCTCTGTGTGTGGTTGTGTTTCTTGATTACCAACACATGAGATACCAGTCCGTCTGTCCATTTTCTTTCTGTGATTTTTCAGGACATCCCTATCTTTCTTTGACTATAGCGTCTCTGAATTCTTGTTCATGCTTAAAGGTTAGAGAGAGGGAACTCCAGCTTGATGTGTCCAGACTTTCTCTGCTGAAACTCAGCACTTGTTTTGTTTTCTTTTTATATTAAGTGGTTATTTTTTTCTGTGAAAAATTTTCTGAATTCTTTACGTTTGTATCGATTAGCAGGTAAAATCAGTATATACTTTTCTGAATACTTAAAAATGTGGACCTCAGATACTTATCATGGGAAAAGCACCACAGTTTTTTATTACGTGGTATTCGATCCAAAATGCTAGCTGATTCCTTATCTTCAACAAATGACAGCTGGTATATCTTAAAGCAAATAACCATTAGGCAGATACTGTTAATTCTGCCACTGGTAAAATTCATGTAGTAACAAGGCGGAAGGACTAATGAGGAAGGTCAAAGCGTTTGATTATGTGCAAGTAATTGATCAAACTTCAAAAGCTGGATCATGGCACCACAAACTAGTACAGTGTATAGCCAGTGCAGGAATAGTATTGGAAGCCTTTAAAAACATGACATACTGTACTTTTAAGAGAGTTAGCTAATTGTTATGTGTTGAAGTCTAGGCATCCCAGTGATGGGTATGTTTATATGCTGTTTGAATGTAGGGGACAAATTATATCTCCTTTTTTTAACTCTTAAGGTGTTAAATACGGAGTCTTTTGATAAAGAACTTAATAGTTTTAAAGGTGAAAAAACCCATAAAATTAGTATCCTTGCGCATATGAATTCAGCAAGTGATAAAACAAAATTTCTTCTATTAAGAAAGGACCAGAACTGTAGAAGTCATAAACCATGTAAAGTATTCATCTTTCTACATTGGAGTGGTAGATACAAAATTATTTCCATACTGCTTATGATCTTGGGTTATCCATTTACTTTCTGTTGTTGCCTGGGTTTTATTATTTAATAAACAAGAAAAGTTGCTACACTGTAAGTTGGCAATTAAATTACATAATGTTCCCAGAAAATAATAGTGTTTAGCAAGCTGTTCATTGCTTCATTGAGCTTAAAGTCAGGCTCTGGTTTCACTAAGGCTTTTTCTCTAATCTGCATTTAGGTGTATGAGCACCAGTAACTCTGGTCATAGTTAAGGTCCACTAGATATTGGTGCCCACCTAGGGCATAGTGGTCTGAACATCCCCTGTCTAAAATCCCTTATGATGGTGCTGTTCAACCACTTGTACGTGCTTCCCTATTCTGAAAAGCGGCTTTTGAAAATTCTGAGGTGAAAGTGTTCTCAGTGTCAAAGGTGTTTTCACTTCAATTCTATTTATTTTTTTTAATGCAATGAGACAGCCATTGTGGTACGTGAGGGATATGCTGAATTCCATCTATTTGTATATGCACAGGAGACAGTAGGGACAAGTTTTCTAATTCTGGTTGAGTGCTTATTTGAGGTTGTACAGCCATTTTCTCTAGGTCAGATTTCTTGTTCTTTGATAGTCAGCGAACAGCAGGGTGTCTTGCCTATGATAGGTCTTCCTCTGTCACTTAGCTGCCTGAAGAAAGCCTAGATACTGTCTTTAATATCTCATATTAAAGTGGGGATGGTGTCTTCTGGAAATACTGTTACAGAATTACTTCTAAAGCTACAGAAAGAGGCTAGATGACCTATTTACACGTTAGGCTCTTCATTTTTAAATGTTAGTTACATGCATTTAGGCTTTAACTATTTGCATATTTTGAGAGGGAAAATTAGGAAACGGTAGCTGATGGGATGCGAGATACAGGAAAATCCGACTGTCTTGGTGTGTCTCCGCTGTTAAGTAATTCCAAGCAAATACAGACATAGTGCTTGATTATTTCGCAGGATTGAAATACAGCAGAGGAAGTTGTCATTTAAGGTAATTTCCTAGAATATTTTTGCCAATATATATGTTTGCAGTAAATAGCTTGTGAAGCCACTGTTGACTTATCCTGGCAAATCTGAACTCTGACTCCACAAGCTATTATAGGTGGCAACTTTGGAGACAAATTAGATAGTGGTTAATATATATGATTAGATTAGAAAAATCACCTTTTGAAATAGACAAAAATAATTTCGCACCAGTATTGTCTTTGCTAACATCTGAACAGTGAGAGAAACACTGGTTAATGCTTTTGGGCTTTCTTTAATTTTGTTTTTTGGGACTATGTATCATTTTGTGATATTTACTATGCATACCTATAGAAGGATGCTAAAAAAAAGCCCATATACAAGTTTTTACTTAATATTTCATTTATTTAGAGTAATTTGGCAATTACAAGCAAAGTTAGAGATTTTCACAAAAACAGGCCTCTGAACAATATACATGTAAAAGTTTAAAAGATCAGACATTCTGTTAACTTTCAAGATGTGTATAAACTTCCTATTGGTTTTGGACCTCCAGAAGTTGCTGTGAAATAGTTCTCTCTCCATGTATTGTTTTCTCAAATATTCAGTTCCTAGGGGTTTGTCATGTCTGTAGAGTCTTTTCACTGTGCTGTTCCTGCATATTAGGAAAAGGAATTCTGCATCAGAGCCTGTAGGGAGCAGTCCTTCTGGCCTCTTCAGGAATTTTTTAAAGAAGGTTTTCATGGAAAACAGAAATTTCTCCCCTGATGCTCAGAAAAGTATTAGGGCATGGTTGCAAAGGCAGATAAGCTGATCTAATGGCGCACTGCTGCTGAGAAGTGTGATTCTCATTTTCCTTACCCACCACCTTTAAATGACTTGGATTTTTTCTTTTCATTTGAGTGTAAAGGAGTAATTTTCTACTAGATTAGTGAATTGAATTACTTTTCTAAGTGGTTGGATGACTGTCGAAGCACAAATAGAAGAGAGAGGAGCACATAAGCACACAGTGATGAGTGGAAGGATTGAAGCAGAGTAGAACTTCCCACTTTTGGCTGCAGCCAGCTGTTAGATCAACTCTTTTGGTTTAGCAGTATCTTTAGGAGCATCCAGTTATTGTGACTACAGCATATTTTTAAAACAATGAGAAAAAAATGAGTCACTGGCATACCTGAGGTTTCTGGATGTTTTCTGAGTGTTCAAGCTTCTTTTTCTTGTTCCTCATCCTCTTGTCTTCCCTGAAGTTCTGGCAATTTTCAATCAATCTTTAATTTTTCTTTTGAGATCATCATATATAGTGGATATGTTTTCACTTGCTGGGGGTTTAGGTTGTTATAGTCCTTCCTGTCTTTTAAATTTGCTGCTCCCATTTAATACCATTTGAAGGACAGAGAGAGCAAAAAAACAGTAATCGGTTAGAGAAATGAAGTCCAACATTTAAATCTTTCTATATGTGTAAGTGCTAGAACAGAGCTATTTGTAGTTACAGGAATCAGAGAACAGAGAAGCTATCTGTTGACTCAGAAGCTTATACTCAGGACAGCTGACCATAAAGTAATACAAAATTCTCTAAACCTCACCTTTCTACCTTTGCCAGTTTCTTTGAAGCCAGCTGGACTTCCAAAATCTTTTAACAGTTACCTATGCTTTTGGCTGTACTAATCTTAATTGCCAGGTGGTGTAGCAGTAATGAGAACTAACTGTGATTTTGAAGGGCTGCTTGTTTGGTCCTCTAAAGCATAGCTCAGATAAAAGAGGAGCTAAGTGGATGCATTGCTAAGCTATTTACTTTTCATTAAAATAAAATTATTATGTAAAACTCTGAATTCTCTTCTTAATAAAGAAATTGAAGCCACTTCTTCAGTGGCAATTTTAAGAGTTGAGGAGCTAAGCCTGCTCCTGATTTAGACTACTTTGCAGTATTAGTAGCATTACTTTTTCTTCTTCTTTTTTACTTTTGTGTAGAGGAGAAGAAGCCTAAAGTCAAGAAACCAAAATCAGAATTCCCTGTATACACAGTTCTGGAGTCAAGTGCATATATACCATCGTATGATCATGGAGCTTCAATTGAAGAGATAGAGGAACAGATGGATGACTGGTTGGGAGGCAGGAACAGAACACAGAAAAAAAAGGTAAGTTCAAAATCTTCCATGTCATTATATATTTTCAATGTTGATTTGTTTCCTTGCCTCTTAGGAAAATAGAATATTGTATGTATACCACTACAATATTCATACTCTGTTGAAGTCTTAGAGAAGTATTGTCAAGCAGAGACATAATGGAAAAGATTATATCGATGTTCAATGTAATTTGTGTAATGATACTGGAAATGTTATAATAGTACGTCGTTGATTAAAATATATGAAAGCTCTCTGTGGTTTCCAGTATAAATACTGTTCTTGTTCACTAAAAATTAGTAGAACATAATGCTGTCAAGTTGTATGAGACTTAGTTCTTTCTCTTAATTGCAGTTAATAATATTTTGCTTGCAAGAATAGATTCCTCTCTATTAAAAAAAAAACAAACAAACAAAACAAAAAAAGGGGGGTGGAAAGTCAAAAAGAAAGAAGAAACCTTTGCTTCTTAATATCCAGGTGTAGTACCTTTTGGTTATGGAACTCCTTATGTACTTTGTGCATGTCATCTGCTTTATGGAAAAGTCCTAAAAATTTGACTTTGGCCTATTGTGTGAAGGTTCTTTCTATTTAGACGTAAGAGTTCTTAGTGCCAGTTAGTGTCCTTATCTTCTGGTAAATTTTATTAAAACATACTGGCTTAGAACTGAGATACACAAGAGCAAGAAGAAGTGTTATAAATTGCCTTCCTGACCTAAAACCGTGCCTTTTTTGGAAGACTATGATAAGAAGAATGGTGTGTTTGGAGTGGAGTTAGACCAGCACATTGACTTCAGTGTCAAAATAGTGAAAGAAGTTCCTGTTGCCGTTTGTCTTACTCCTCTGTGCTGCAGATGTGCTTCCTCCTTAGTTGTTTTCAAGCCTGTGAAAAATAGTGTCCCATTTTTAGCCAGACCTAAAGATTTTACTGAAATAATTCGAATTTTGCATAACCTGTTTAATCATCTACCACTATTTGGAATCCTAAGCTTCATGACTTCCTGGCTGTCAGTTTTCTCTTGCTGTTACTTTTGTCTTTCTGTATAAATAGTACAGACATCTGCATTCTGTTTACTGCTATATTTGTGTAACAAATCCATTCTGCAAATATGCTTAGCTTTTGACTTTTGTGTAAGAGATTGGCACTCTGAATCCTTAACCACTGGGGCATATTTTCATGCACTTCGAGAGAGTGAGAACTCAGGTCCTTAATTCTACAGTTGAGTTGCCGGGGAGTTAAGAGCGTATGTACAGTCTTTGCTTTGTTTACCTTAACTCAAGAAGTGTCCGTGGCTTGGATTCCTGTTAGTTGCATCCCTGTGAACCAGGTTTGCTTACCAGGCTGTGCAGACAAATGATTAAAGGAGAAAAGATGTATTTTTGTTTACAGTAGCTCAGACTGGTTGCATGCTTGACTCTCTGCGTCCCAAATTCACCTTCCCTCTGATGGAAATTGAGTCTTTTTTTGGATTTCCATGAAAATGAAGGAATTGAATAAGACTGGGCCTATTTCATCTATAATTTTGCACCTCCTACCTAGAGTACATAGAAGTTGTATTTTCAGAGACACTGCCAAGAGAACAAGTTGTGGGTATATCCTTTCAGAAACAGGAGTCAAAGAAATTAAAACATATCAGAGAACTGTTATTAAAAGGTAAGTAACTTGGTTTTCTATGTTTACACCTGGAGGTTCAGTGTTGCGTCTCATCACTTTGATTGATGAGTTTATTTTTTGAATTATATTCTGTTGCAAATGGGGTTAACATTTTAGGGACAAGCAGGCAATTTGCAGGTATGCTGTCTGAGTAAAGTGTTTGACCTGAACAAACTGTGATGAGGCATGCTTCCTTTCCTTGACAGCTAATATGTTACCTCAGTGCAATATTGACATTTAATACAGTAGTGGAGAGAAACACATTCATAAACTGTACATAGAAATGGAGAATATATGTTACCAGCTCTAGCAGCTTGTAGGAGCCATTTGTATGTCAATATGAGAACGTCTGTGTCATATGATTCGTAATAAGCTCACTGGGAAAATGGTTGTACCACAAGTGAATTGTTCCCAACTGTCATTTGACACATTTTCTTGTTTAGAAAGATGTATTTTCCTTCAGTACACATCATAGGTGTGAACTGGGATAGCATCCCTCTTCTACCTCCCTCTTCTGCTTCTTGCATGGATGTGCAGTAACGTGCTGTGTAACATTCACCTCTCAGTTCTGCTTGTCTTAAGAAGAAGTTACTCTTTCATAAATCATTTTGCCATCAGACTTTTTCTTGGGATCATAATGCTTCACTCATGAGAAATCTTAGTAGGTTTGTTTTGTTTTGTTTTAAATTTTCTTTCATAATAGCTCAGGGATGTGGACTATGTACAGCCAACCAGGCTTGAGAGTCATTTTCTGAGTGGTAAGATCAAAGAAGCTTGATAAAGTGGAATTGCTGTTACTGATGTCGATGAGGGTATCCTGAGTGTTGCTGATTACAGTTCATTTAATATTGTTCATTAACTGCTTTGCAGTGTTGCCATTTTGTACTTTAGGAGGTGCCTGCAATCCATGGACTAGTGTTTTGGAAGTGCCATACCATGCAGAGCGCCCAGTTTGATAAAAAATTACATTATGTTAAGTTGTTAGATTTGAAGGTCAGTCTCTGATTATTTATATTTATATTTTTATTTGGGGGGTGGGTTTTTTTGTGGGTTTTGTTAGTTTGTTGTTTTGAAAGCTGGTTTAACAGCTCATGGGTTACAGTCCTGTAAGCTGTTTACTAATGTTTCTTCCAGTTTGGAGGGGTACATTTGCCCTCCTTGGAAGAAGAATCTGGAAGGCTAAGGTTATGAATTTCATAGAATCATAGAATAGTTAGGGTTGGAAAGGACCTTAAGATCATCTAATTCCAACCCCCCTACAATGAGCAGGGACACCACACACTAAACTATGTCACCCAAGGCTCTGTCCAGCCTGGCCTTGAACGCCTCCAGGGTTGGAGCATTCACAACTTCCTTGGGCAACCCATTCCAGTGCCTCACCACCCTCACTGTAAAGAACTTCTTCCTTATATCTAACCTGAACTTCCCCTGTTTAAGTTTAAAGCCATTACCCCGTGTCCTACCACTAGAGTCCCTAATGAAGAGTCCCTCCCCAGCATCCTTGTAGGCCCCCTTCAGATACTGGAAGGCTGCTATGAGGTCTCCACGCAGCCTTCTCTTCTCCAGGCTGAACAGCCCCAACTTTCTCAGCCTGTCTTCATACGGGAGGTGCTCCAGCCCTCTTATCATCCTCGTGGCCCTCCTCTGGACTTGCTCCAACAGCTCCATGTCCTTTTTATGTTGAGGACACCAGAACTGGACACAAATTTAGATGTATCAAAGCTATAGAAAAGAAAAATTCAGATTTTTATTGTTCCATCTTTAACAGCAGTCTGGACATTTTTCTGACAGATATTAACCTAGGAAGTAACATTGTCATAAACTTAATAGCTCTGTAAAGTACATTTGCCAACATGGGGAAGATAATGGCTTTCAGAAGTATCGACCTCACCGTTCTTCATTAAGTTTACATAACAGCTCTACAAAATAAATAGAATAAAACAAATAATTTGGTTCAGTGTTTATTGAAGGTGATCCTAAAGTAAAGGTTAATTAAAATTGGTTGGAAATGAGAATTACCATTTCTAATAGGGAGATGAAGTTTTAGATTCAGAAGACTCTGTAGGCTGGTTCTTACCCCAGGATTCATTTAAAGTATCATCCTTACTGAAGAGCAGACATTGTCTTTTTTAAGAAGGAAAAAAAATATATATATGCAACTGTCTCCCTATTAAGTGACTGTCAATTCAAAATGAAATAGCAACATTAAAGAGCACAGAAAATAATATAAAATGCAGTTTGGCATACTAGTGTGTGTTCTGAATTGGTCTACTAATTTCTATTGATAGTTGCTTAGTAACATTTGGGTTTTTTCCATCTGGTGTCTGAATATGATATGGAAGCTATTAGTGTACTATTGATTACTGTTTCTGTAGGGTTTAAGTATCGACATAGATAAGGAAGAGGCTATAGAGAAGAAAACAGCTTCCTTCTTAGGCAAGGTAGAATGATCTACTGAGGGATGTAGATAGAGGAGTGTTTTCATAAGATTACATAGCTGGCCTAAAACATGCTTATAGCACTGTAAAGTTACTCCTGTATCTTACTTTATGAACACATGAAGTTTATGTCCATAAGGGGCTTGTCTTGTCATGTTGTTGCTCTTTACATAGAATGACTATTAAAAGAAAGTGAGCTATTGAAAGATAGTCAGCTAATATTCCTTATTACAGAACTGGGAGGTAATTTTTCTGTATTTCTCTGAAGCAGTGATCCGTCCACCTTTAGGATATTTTGTGTAATTTTGATTGTTGCACTTTACAGAAAGAAGGAAAAATTAACAGAAAGACTAGATCAGCAATAAAAATAAATTTAGAAAATCATATTTTTGAGGAAAGATTAAATAGGTGGAGTTTCAGAATGAAAAAGGGAAGCTGTTGGGTAAAAACATCATTATTCCAATCCATTCCAGGCTATTTTAGGGAGAATGATAATCATTTATCATTACTTCCCACCTTTTATGAATTTAGAGAGAAAGTAATATTAAATTTGGTTTGCAGCCAGGATGTTTAAATTCAGACTGGGGAGGCACATAACTAGAGCATGTTACCTGCACCATTTATGAAGACTTTCTTCCACAATCTATCCTGTTCTTCAACTCCATCTGTTGAAACAGTGTGAGCAGGCTCAATTGTATTTGAGAGCCTATAAATAAAGTTATGAGACTCTTGAGGGTTTTTTTCAGTATGGGAGATCATATACTTGCCTAGCACTAAATTGCATATTCATATAGCACTGTTTACACTATTCATGCAAACCACATATGACTACGAAGCAGAGAGGAATCACTAAAAGCTCATTCTTATGCTGATAACAAAGCTCTTCAAAACAAGTACTGAAAAAGTGTATTTGTAAAATTATTTTT